TCTTAAGTCATTGGTTTTCTTATTGGTGTGAGTAGGCTCTTTACATTTTGAAGTTTTGACTCTTTGCATTATTTATGGAAATATTTTTCCAGTTTGCTCTTTCACTTTAAATTCTGCTTACACATTTTCAATGTGTAGGAGTTTTAAAATTTTGTTTTCATCTGTGCTTTTTTTTTTTTTTTTTTTTGAATGTTCTTGCGTTACTTTTGTGATTAGAAAGTCTGCTACGGCTTTAATATTCATGTTGCTCCCCTAATTCATATGCTAAAATCCTTACCTCCAAGATGGTGGTATTAGGATGTGAGACCTTTGGGAGAAGATGATTGTGTTATAAGGGTGGAGGCTTCCTGAATGGGATTAGAAAAAGAACACTTAGAGCTGTACTACACATTATAAACCAATAAATTTAAGATACACTTAAAGCACTGAATATAAAAAATGAAATCAGGCCAGACATGGTGGCTCACACCTGTAATCCCAGCACTTTGAGAGGCCAAGGCAGGCAGATCACTTGAGGCCAGGAGTTCAAGACCAGCCTGGCTGACATAGTGAAATCCTGTCTCTACCAAAAATACAAAAAATTAGCTGGGTGTGGTGGCGCATGCTTGAGGTCCTAACTATTTGGGGGACTGAGGTGGGAGGATCACCTGAACCCAGGAGGTCAAGGCTTAACTCTACCATAATGTTTAGTGGGAAAACCCAAATACCTTCCCATGAAATTTAGGAGCAAGACAAAATGTTTGTTACTGCTGTTATTGTTTAACAATGTGGTATTAGTCCATTGTCACGCTGCTAATAAAAACATCTCTGAGGCTGGGTCATTTATAAAGGAAAGAGATTTGACTCACAGTCCAGCATGGCTGGAGAAACCTCAGGAAACTTACGATCATGGCAGAAGAGGAAGCAAACACATCCTTCTTCACATGGTGACAGCAAGAAGAAGTACTGAGCAAAAGGAGGAAAAGCCCCTTATAACCCCATCAGATCTCTTGGGAACTCACTATCATTAGAACAGCAGCATGGGGGTAACCATCCCCCCATGATTCAATTACCTACCACTGAATCCCTCCCACAACACATGGGATTATGGGAACTACAATTCAAGATGAGATTTGAGTGGGGACACAGCCAAAATCCCAATGTTCTGGGGGTAATTAACCAATGCAATTCACCAAGAAAAGGAATAGAAGCCAGGCGCGGTGGCTCAAGCCTGTAATCCCAGCACTTTGGGAGGCTGAGGTGGGTGGATCACGAGGTCGAGAGATCGAGACCATCCTGGTCAACATGGTAAAACCCCGTCTCTACTAAAAATACAAAAAAAATTAGCTGGGCATGGTGGCGCGTGCCTGTAATCCCAGCTACTCAGGAGGCTGAGGCAGGAGAATTGTCTGAACCCAGGAGGCAGAGGTTGCGGTGAGCCGAGTTCGCGCCATTGCACTCCAGCCTGGGTAACGAGAGCGAAACTCCGTCTCAAAAAAAAAAAAAAAAAAAAAAAAAAAAAAAAAAAAAAAAAAAAAAAAACAACTATAAAATACAGTAAACTTAAATTGCTAATAAGATTTCTTGTCTGCAGCCGGGCGCGGTGGCTCAAGCCTGTAATCCCAGCACTTTGGGAGGCTGAGGCGGGTGGATCACGAGGTCGAGAGATCGAGACCATCCTGGTCAACATGGTGAAACCCCGTCTCTACTAAAAATACAAAAAACTAGCTGGGTGTGGTGGCGCATGCCTGTAATCCCAGCTACTCAGGAGGCTGAGGCAGGAGAATTGCCTGAACCCAGGAGGCGGAGGTTGCGGTGAGCCGAGTTCGCGCCATTGCACTCCAGCCTGGGTAACAAGAGCGAAACTCCGTCTCAAAAAAAAAAAAAAGAATTCTTGTCTGGGTGCAGTGGCTCATGCCTATAATCCCAGCACTTTGGGAGGCTGAGGCGGGTTGATCGCTTTGGACTCCCACAGTGTTGGGATTACAGGCGTGAGCCACTGGCAAAACCCTGTCTCTACTAAAAACACAAAAATTAGTTGGACATTGTGGCACATGCCTGTAATCCCAGCTACTCGGGAGGCTGAGCAGGAGAATTGCTTGAACCTGGGAGGCTGAGGTTGCAGTGAGCTGATTGCACCACCACACTCCAGCCTGGGTGAGAGGGAGACTCCATCTCAAAAGAAAAAACAAAAACAAAAATGAAAAAAGAACAAGACTTCTTGAACAAATGAGGAAAATGGTTTTAGTTGGAAGATTCAACATTTAAAACTTAACAATTCTCCATAGTTTATTTATAAAATTAACACGACCCCAATAGCAATACAACAGAATTTTTTGGAATTTTCCAAGAAGATTTTGAATTTCAATATGAGAAAATGAACATGTAAGAATAGCCAGGAATATTCTGAAAAAGAAGCCCTACCAGATACAAAATATATCAATGACCTCGGAGCCGCCTTTCAAGCCCTGCTGCCACCATTTTTTGCCTGTGTCTGTCTGCAGGCATTGCTGTTTTCTTTCAGATCCTTGCCTGCACAGGCCAGACCCCTGCCACGGGGCCCTTGCATGGACTTTTTGCTATCTGAATGATGTGGGCAGCTCCTGCTTCAATACCTCTTGACTATTTCATTCTTATTTAATCGTCACTTCTTTAGGGAACTCTTTCCTTCCACTTCCTTCATCTTAAGTCATTTTCCTTTGTTAGCTGCCTTCTTGCTTCCCTTGAATTTATTTCAGTTAGTCATTATACAGTCCTAAGTGTGATTGTTTGATAAATTCTCTTTCCCTTATTAGACTGTCAGCTCAGCGCCTGATCCAGAGTAGGCTTTCAGTAAATATTAGTTAGCGGATAATCTCCAGTCTGTTGGACTCTGAGGCTAATTTAGATCCAGCAACTATCTTCTAAACTCAGTCATCAAAAGAGCTCTCCTCATGTAGTCCCTACTTTAGTGTGAAGGGAATGATATCTCAATATATAGCTTCTTTTCTTTTCTCTTCTTTTCTTTTCTTTTATTTCTGTCCTTCCTTCTTTTTCTTTTCTTTTTTCCTTCCTTCCTTCCTTCCTTCTTCCCTCCCTCCCTTTCTCTCTCTCCCTCTCTCTCTTTCATTTTGAGACAGGATTTCGCTCTGTTGCTTAGGTTGGAGTGCAGTGTTTGTGATCACAGCTCACTGCAGCCTTGACCTCCTGGGCTCAAGTGCTCCTCCCAGCTCAGCCTCCCAAGTAGCTGGGACAGAAACACACCACCATGCCCAGCTAATTTTTTGTAGAGATGGGGTCTTACTGTTGCACAGACTGGTCTGGAACTCCTGGGCTTAAGTGATCCTCCTGCCTCATTCTCCCCAAATACTGGGATTGCAGGTATGAGCCACTGCCCTGGCCTAGCTTCTTTTCTTAAAAGAAAATAAAAAGATGTTAGTCACTGAAAGAAATAATCATAGCCATTGGGAAACTTATTTTCCTAATAAATTTTATAAAATGGTATGTCATACGTACTATCGGTGAAATCTCTTATAAGTGACCTGTGTCCTCGTGTGGCCTAGTTTAGAAAATATGGCAGGTGGTCGGGGTGGAGAAGACCTTCTGACTGCTGAGGGAGTCTGAACAGGATGTGGTTCTTTAATAAGAGACTCAGTTAAACTTTTTATGCTTTTTCCCCAGAGTACATATCTAACATCTTCTTGGTTGTGCTGTGATTGGCAAACATTTGCTGTTACTAAGAGCCCTGAAGGTTTTGTTTGGCATTTTGTGGATTAAATCACACTGGTCATGACAATGCTTGTCTTAAAGTTATGAGCTTTAAGATGACTTTTGCATTCGTGACTATTTCAAACAGTAGTTGCTGGCAGTGGACTAGTGTCTGGCAGTCTTAAACGGATTTTGCTGGTGAGCCCCCTGAGGCCATTTAGATACTCCAGAAAATCCTCCTTTATGTGACCTCTTTCATATTTCTTTAAAAAAGAATGGCTTTCTACTGTGCTTTCACAAAGACCACAGGCCTTGGAAACTCCATAGTGGTGGGCGTAGATATCCAACCTAAGTAATAATTCTTGAAGGAAGCAGGCATACGGCATGAGTCAGATGGAAACAGGACCAGAGGGTGCAGTCTGCAACCCACAGGCGAAACCCACCAAATCTGCTCTGCAAGTATGCTTATTGATTCATATATGTTTCTTTTTTAAACATTTAAATCAGTTGTCAACCTGCAAAAACTGGGAAGTTAGACTTCAGTAAGTCTGAATATATGGCTTGTCTTGAAAAACTGGAATGATTTAGAATTGGAAATTCCAAAATTGGAGTGGTTTGGCCAGGCTGGAAATCCTTACTTCTGTATCTGCAACCATCAGTAGAGCTGAGAGCTCTTTCCTTCCAGATGGGCAGGGACTGTTTATGTGTGACCCCACCATCTCTCATCTCACATGTTCATTTTTTTTTTTGAGATGGAGTCTTGCTCTGTCACCTAGGCCGAAATGCTGTGGTGCAATCTCAGCTCACTGCAACCTCTGCATCCTGGGTTCAAGTGATGCTCCTGCCTCAGCCTCCTCGGTAGCTGTGATTACAGGCATGCATCACCACCCCTGGCTAATTTTTGTGTATGACACCATGCCTGGCAAATTTTAAAAAAAAATTCTTTTTGTAGAGATAGGGTCTTGCTATGTTGCCCAGGCTGGTCTGGAACTTCTGGCCTCAGGGAATCCTCCTGCTTTGGCCTCCAAAAGTGCTAGGGTTATAGGCATGAGCCAACATACCATGCCATAGGTCAATTCTTTTTTTTTTTTTTCTTTTGTACCTGTACATGTCAAGGAAAAACCAATTCTTAAATGACAGATCTCATCACCATCCTGGAGGAGCATATCATTTGTTCCTGAAGTTTCTCCTGCCTCCCTTTGGACTCTGAGAATGAGAACAAAATGGTCTGAATATAACATTTCTCTGGGTAGCATGTTTGACACATTTGCAATACAAAGAATGCTTCTGCCTTTAATCTTGCTTTAAGCAGCTGCACAGAAAAGACTGTTTAACACTCTTCTTGGTATTTTGTCTTTTGGGGAAACTTACCAGGAAATTTACAATCATCTTTTGGAAGTCCCGGTCACACGGGAGCAGTTAAACCACTATCGGAATGTGGCTCAAAATGCTCGAAGTGAACTTGCAGCAACTTTGGTCAAATTTGAATGTGCTCAGTCTGAGGTAAGATAATGCATCTCCATCGCTCAGATATGGGTCTTCTTAGCTTCTTATAAAATGAAACGGAGTATAGGAGTGATTAGCAGTAGGACATTGGGATATAGATTTAAAGCTTTTGGTAAAGTTGAAACTTATTTTCTTGTGCCTATCCCCTAGAATTCCTGAAAACGTATGCATTTTCCAGGCTGTAAAGCAAGGTGGGTTGGGCTGGATTCTGGATCTCAGAGGAGCTATACATCCTTGAGACATCTGGAGGCACCTGAAGATGTTCACTAAAAGTCCATGGGCTTCAGAGAGCTTTTAGCATCTCTCAGAATATCTTCCTTTAATGTGGATTGCTTGTAATCTGGAGTTCTTTTTTTAATTTAAATTAAATTAAATTTGATTTAATTTTTTTTTAGAGACGGAGTTTTACCATGTTGGTCAGGCTGATCTTGAACTCTTTTTTTTTTTTTTTTTTTTTTTTTTTTACAAAGAAGAAAAGAAGAAAGAAAGAATAAAAAATAATTTTAAAAAAATGAAGAAGAGGGGCCGGGCGCGGTGGCTCAAGCCTGTAATCCCAGCACTTTGGGAGGCCGAGGCGGGTGGATCACGAGGTTGAGAGATCAAGACCATCCTGGTCAACATGGTGAAACCCCGTCTCTACTAAAAAATACAAAAAAAAAACTAGCTGGGCGTGGTGGCTCGTGCCTGTAATCCCAGCTACTCAGGAGGCTGAGGCAGGAGAATTGCCTGAGCCCAGGAGGCGGAGGTTGCGGTGAGCCGAGATTGCGCCATTGCACTCCAGCCTGGGTAACAAGAGCGAAACTCCGTCTCAAAAAAAAAAAAAAATGAAGAAGAGGAAGAAAGAGGGAGAGGGAACGGGGGTGTTGCTTTATTGCCCAGGCTAGAATGCAGTCTAAAAATGGGTATGCCTATAATTGTGCTTAATAATAAAGACATGAAGAAAAAAAGAGAAAATCCTGATTTCAGGTGAGCCGCCCGCCTCTGCCTAACCAAAGTGCTGGGATTACAGGCATGAGCCACTGCGCCTGGCGGCAATCTGGAGTTCTTAGGAGAGAATTCTGAATCCCTTTCCTGTGGTAGTTCCAACTGGCTGGGGAAATTCTAGGAAGAGGATTGGAATCCATTTACCCTATAGGCTAGCTCTGGTCTAGGGTGGAGTTTCTGAGAGTCTTCCTAAACTCATTCTGCTTATAGCCTGGTGGCCCCAAGGAGTCCTAGAATGGCCTGCGATTTCTCACTAAGGCTGCCAGGATCCCATAGAAAGATGAGTTGATAACGTGTGTGTGAATAAATGTATGTATGCACACTTACAGTTCCAAAGAAGTACACGCTTTCAAAACGTTTTCTCATAGGGTAGATCTGACATTTCAACTCAGTAGGGCCCATATATTATTCGGCTTTTTGATGCCACAGAACTCATAAAAGTCAAAATATTTTCTTTATATAAATCCTATAAGGATTTTTCTTTTTTTCCATGTTTCCCCTCCCAGAAATTGGAATATTATTTTTATTTATCACTCATGGCTAGAGTCCAGAAATAATATAGTTATATACTGAGTGGTCTGTGTTTATGTGGGAAACAGTTATGGCTGTGTAATCACAGATCATGTGATTCGTAGGTTCCTTGTCTAATTGTTTATCAGCAGCAGTAGCAGCAATACAGATTTAGAAAATGTGGACCATTGCAAAATATTTTATTGCTTATGCAATCAACATCATAAACATCTCCTGAAAGACTAAAGCAACATAAGACATTGCGCAACTGGTTTTGGAAAATACAGAATATAAAGTCCATTATTTAGGCATAATTTCTCATTTGTTAATGCAGACACAAATATTAGAAAAGAAAATAAAGTTAGATTAATTCATGAATCAAAGAGTGAACATTTAAATTATGGCTTTAGATTTCTTAAAGATACTTCAAACTTATGTTGTTAAGGTTTTTTTTAAACTTCTTTTCCATGTTAGCTTCAAGACCTTCGATCCAAGATGCTTTCTAAAGAAGTCTCCTATCAAGAGTTGAAAGCTGAGATAGAGAGCTACAGAGAAAACAATGCCAGAAAATCATCTCTCCTTACTTCTTTGAGAGACAGAGTTCAGGAGCTAGAAGAAGAATCAGCAGCACTTTCCAGTTCTAAAATCAGAACTGAAATCACAGCTCACACTGCAATCAAGGAGAATCAGGAATTAAAGAAGAAAGTTGTGGAGTTAGATGAAAAATTACAGTAAGGATACTGCAGTATATTTCTAGGTTTAACTAGCGTTAAAACACTAGCTTCTGATAGCAAGATATATCTTTGAATGTACTGGTGTTTTGGATTATTTGGCCCTGAAGCTCAATTTGAAAAAAGTTATTAACCTCAAATATTTTTGGAGTCTTGAAAATTTTTTCCCAAGCTCATTTCTAAATGTCAAGAATCTTAACAAATATAGCCTTGTCTTAAGCATGTTTATAGCCTATCAATGGTGGCTGCAAATGCTAATTTACACAATTTGTAAGATTCCTCTAAGTAGAGTTTAACCCTGATGTGGTGGGGTAGGTAGTACACAGAGGTAGATATTTATTTAGAAGCCAATTATAAAAATATCCTAGACGCTAGACCACTCCAAATCACACTGAATACTCCTCATTAGATTTTATTCCTAGTTTATGCAGAGAAGTCATGAAACCTAGGTTTCCCACACTTCATTCTGACAAGAGGTGATTATTGAGACAAAATTGGGAATGAGTTGTTTCTAAAATACATTTTGATGATTTCAAAATTCTTGCTATAAGCCTTGGTTCTCTTTTTCTTTCACTCTCCATGTCCAATTGTTAAGCAAATCCCATCATATCTCTCTTCAAAACAAATCAAAATTTTGTCAGCTTTCTATTGTCACCTTTATTGTCACTAACTTGGTCCAAGCAACCATTAACTCTCACCTGGATTATTACAATATGTATCTGTTACAGCAGCATCCCACTCTTGGTACTAATTTCTCTTTTAGTTGGTTTGGGCTGCTATAAGAAAAATACCATATACTGTGTGGCTTAAATGACAGCAATTTATTCCTTGTAGTTGTGGAGGCTGGGAAGTCCAAGATCAAGGTGCTGGCCTATTCAGTTCCTGGTGAGGGTCCTCTTCCTGGTTTGTAGATGAATGCCTTCTTGCTGTATACTTACATGGCAGAGAGAGAGAGAGAGAGAGAGAGAGAGAGAGAGAGAGAGAGAGAGATCACTTCTTCATGTTTCTTCTCCATCTTCTCTTTTCTAGAAAGAGTCTTGCTCTGTTGCCCAGGGTGGAATGCAGTGCGTGCAATCTTGGCTGACTGCAACCTCTGCCCCCTGGGTTCAAGCAATTCTTATGACTCAGCCTCCCAATTAGCTGGTATCTGTCTATCTGTCTATCTATCTTTTATTCTTTAAGATTTTGTTTCTTTTTACGGGTAAATGATGTTGCTTAATATATCCCTTTTTTTTTTTTTTTTTTTTTTTTTTTTTTTTTTTAAGATAGAGTCTTGCTCTGTCACCCAGGCTGGAGTGCAGTGGCATGACCTTGGCTCACTGCAGCCTCCACCTCTTAGGTTCAAGCAGTTCTCATGCCTCAGCCTCTTGAGTAGCTGGGATTATGGGCATGTGCCACCACACCCAGCTACTTTTTATGTTTTTAGTAGAGATGGAGTTTTGTCATGTTGACCAGTCTGGTCTCAAGCTCCTGACCACAAGTGATCTGCCTGCCTCGGCCTTCCAAAGTGTTAGGATTACAGGAATGAGCCACTGTGTCTGGCTGTATGTGGTAAACAGTTTAAAAACTCATTTAGTATTTAATTTTATTTATTTACTTATTTGAAACAGGTTTTCACTCTGCCACCCAGGTTGGAGTGCAGTGGCGCAGTCATGGCTCACTGCAGCCTTGATCTCCTGGCTCAAGCGATCTTCCCACCTCAGCCTCTTTTGCAGCTGGGACCACAGGTGCATGCCACTACACCCAGCTGATTTTTACATTTTTTTTTTTTTTTTTTTTTTTTTTGGTAGAGATGGTGTTTTGCCATGTTGCCCAGGTTGGTCCTGAATAACTGGCTTCAAGCAATCCTTCTACCTTGGCCTCCCAAAATGTTGGGATTACAGGCATGAGCCACTGTGCTGAGCCTAGTATATAATTTTAAATGGCCCATTATATTCCTTTGCTTGAAATATAATTTACTCAATCAATTCCTTTTGCTATTTCTACAGGCTCTTAGGTTAGTTCCACTAAAAAAAAATTGCTACAAACCAAGCTTCAATGAATATATATGTGATTCATATTTTCACATTTATGTGATTATTTTCTTTGGGTAGATTCCTGGAACTTTATTGGATCAAGTGAAATGCAAATAGAAGTGACAGTAGTTTAAAATCCCAGCACTTTGGGAGGCCGAGGTGGGTGGATCATGAGGTCAAGAGATCGAGACCATCCTGGTCAACATGGTGAAACCCCGTCTCTACTAAAAATACAAAAAATTAGCTGGGCATGGTGGCATGTGCCTGTAATCCCAGCTACTCAGGAGGCTGAGGCAGGAGAATTGCCTGAACCCAGGAGGCGGAGGTTGCGGTGAGTCAAGATCGCGCCATTGCACTCCAGCCTGGGCAAGAAGAGCGAGACTCCGTCTCAAAAAAAAAAAAAAAAAAAAGAAACCTTTGGAATGGAGAAGAAAGATTGAAATCTTGGAGTTAATGTATGGAATCATATATGTAAATCAATCAGCATGATACACTTAATTATGCCTTCCCTGAGTCCAAAAGTCTGAAGAGTTTTACCTTTCATATGCTAAAATAAGAACTCAGAGATATAGTGATGTTAGCCTTTTATCATTACAGAGTTTTCTAAATAGAAATCTGATATGCTTTGAGTATCTGCAATTACAGGCTTTGTTAATCTTTGAATAGAGTGAAAGAATTCGCAGTAAACACTCAACATGGTAAAAAGGAAAAGCAATAATCATGTTTGTTATCTTGGATATTTAAAAATGACACTAAATTACTGAACTGATTCTAATTTGCCTTTAAAGTATGCCTATTATCGACGATCTCTTAGTTGCTAACATTGAAAGCATTAGAACTAGACCGTATTATTTCAACAAGCCTATCTGAGATTTGAAATAATATATTCATAATAGACCATAAATTTCCTTTTTTCCTTGACTGGCCAGTTCTAATACTGTTCTAATGCTCTTTTTCTCCTTTTATTTTTAGTTGACTTGTAATAATTGTACATATTTATAAAATATGGAGCGATATATTGATACATGCAAACAATGTATAATGATCAAATCAGGGAAATTAGCAAATTCATCATCTTGAACATTTATCATTTATTTGCATTGTGAATATTCAAAATCCTCTCTTCTAGCTATTTGAAAACTAAATTATTGTTAACCACATTCACCCTAGTATGCTGAAGAACACTATAGCACACACTATCAACTTACTCCTGCCGTCTAGCTTTATAAGTTTATAACCATCTTTATAACTTTATAGCCATTGACTAACCTCTCTGTATCCTCCACTATCCACTCTCCTTTCCAGCCTCTAATAATCACAATTCTACTCTTTGCTTTTACGAGTTCAATTATTTTTTCAGCTCCCACATATGAGTGAGACCATGCAGTAATTATTTTTCTGTACTTGACTTATTTTGATTAACATAATATCCTCCAGGTTCATCCATATTGCCACTCCTGACAGGATTTCATTCTTTTAAAAGGCTGAATGGTATTCTGATGTGTATATGTGTGTATATATATATATACACACATACACACATATATACATACTTATATATATACATACATATATATACATACATACATATATATATACATACATACATACATATATATATATATATACACACATACATATATATATCTCTCTCACATTTTTTTCTCCATTCACCCACTGATGGACACTTGTGTTGATTCTATCTTGGCTATTGTGAATAGAACTGCAATAAACATGGGGGTTCAGATATCTCCTAGATATACTGATTTTCTTTCCTTTCTTCCAATACACTTTAAAGACTGTGGGCATGTGAAAACTGATAATGAACTTTGCTGGTGATTGGACACATCTCTTTTCCAGAGGAGAGAACCTTCTGTGCTTTTGATGTGTTTGTTACTACAGTTACGCCTGGCCATGAACCAGGACCCTTATAAACCACTGTATTGTAGAGTTTGAAAATAAAATTGGCTGGGTGTGGTGGTTCATGCCTGTAATCCCAGAACTTTGGGAGGCCAAGGTGGGAGGATCGCCTGAGGTCAGGAGTTTGAGACCAGCCTGACCAACATGGTGAAACCCTGTCTCTACTAAAAATACAAAAAATTTTCTGGGTATGGTGGTGGTGAGCACCTGTAATCCCAGCTATTAGGGAGACTGAGGCAGGAGAATTGCTTGAACCCAGCTACTGGGGAGGCAGAGGTTGCAGTGACCAAGATCATGTCATTGCACTCCAGCCTGGTCAACAAGAGTGAAACCCCCCCTCTCAAAAAAAAAAAAAAAAAAAAAAAAAAAAAAAAAAAAAAAAAGAAAAAAAGAAAAAGAAATAAAATAAAATAAAATGAAGCTGGGTTCTCTGGAGACAATGTGGTAACACCGTCTTTCCCCGTGAGGCCCCAGTGAAGACCCTTGGCTGTGTGGATTGTGAGCACGTGTGTTCTAGACATCTGCCTCTGTTTTTGGAGATCCTAAGGGGTTGAGGCTAGGGGAATCCATTTTCTCTCCTGTTACTAAGTCCACTATGCCTTGAAGATTTCCTTGTATTTCTGCAAAGAATAGGTGTCCCAAAATTGCTTCCACTTTTCTCCTTCCTTGATAGGGTTTCTGTGACAACAATTTGCTCTGTGTCTGGGAAACTGTGTTGTCTTGAAAATGACAATTATTTCCCCCAGAGAGCTTACATTCTGACTTAGTTTGATGAACGTTATCTTCCATGGTGTTAAACTCTGACTTATTGGTTATTTGCCTTACAGAAAGTGTTCAAAAGAAAATGAGGAGAATAAGAAAGAGGTTTCCAAGAACTGCAGGAAACATGAGGCATTTCTGACTCAACTTCGTGACTGCTTGGATCCAGATGAGAGGACTGATCAGGCATCAGATGAAGATTTAATGTTAAAGGTGTCTGCATGCAGATTAAAAAGTCTATAAATGTAGTGGTGATTCTGACATGTGGCATGAAAGGAAGTGCTGTGGTTGAGTTTGGGGGTGGCGGGAGAATGGGGACAGTAACCTAAGTGTAGTGTTTATTAACTGCGTGACTTGGGACAAGTCACATCACCTTCCTGAGCCTCAATTCCAAGATCTTTTCTAGTATTATTGGAATTAATTATTCTCCAAAAGAGAGTAATGGCTTTGTCCAAAATATATTTAGATTGTCAATACCATTAATTACTCATTTTAACCATTTACTTTAGGGAGGTTTTTTCCTTTTAGTTACACCCAGACACACTCACACAAAACCAGTTGAGTGTCATTTTTAGGATACTGATTGTGAGTTCTAAAGTACTTAAAAATTTTTCATTAAAACCAAATAGTGGTTGGGTGCGGTGGCTCATGCCTGTAATCCTAGCACTTTGAGAGGCCGAGGTGGACAAATCACCTGAGGTCAGGGGTTCGAGACCAGCCTGGCCAACATGGTGAAACTCTGTCTCTACTAAAATACAAAAATTAGCCAAGCATGGTGGTGGGCACCTGTAATCCCAGCTACTAGGAAGGCTGAGGCAGAATTGCTTGAACCAGGAGGTGGAGGTTGCAGTGAGCCAGGATATTGCTACTGCACTCCAGCCTGGGCCACACAGTGAGACTCCATCTCAAAAACAAAACAAAACAAAACAAAACAAAACAAAACAAAACAAAAACAAATAGCAGAAATTCTACTTTAATGGTAGACTACCATTAAGTCAGAAATAATATTAACTGAAAAGTTCACTTGGCCCATAGTGCTTCATTAGGGTACCTGAAAGTATTTGAGTGTGCATGGTTCTCTTTGGCCATTTATAAACCTTTCGTATCCTTGCTTGCTAACAGATTTTCATACAGTCATTTCTTTTTTTTAAATTTAGAGACAAGGTCTTGCTTTGTCACCTAGGCTGGAGTGCAGTGGTGTGATCCTAGCTTACTTTGGTCTTGACTTTCTGGACTCAAGGGATCTTCCTGCCTTAGCCTCCTATGTAACTGGGACTACAGATGTACACCACTATGTCTGGCTAATTATTTTATTTTATGTAGAAATGGTCTCGCTATGTCATCCAGGCTAGTCTTGAATTCCTGGCCTCAAGCAATTACCCCACTTCTGCCTCCCAAAGTGCTGTGATTACAGTTGTGAGCCACCATGCACAGCAGCCATGCAGCTTTTTTTTTTTCTTTTTTTTTAAATGGAGATGAGGTCTCACTAATAGCTCAGGCTGGTCTCTAACTCCTGAACGCAAGTGATTCTGCCACCTTGGCCTCCCAAAGGGCTGGGATTACAGGTGTGAGCTATCACATCCAGCCCATCATGCAGCCTTTATTTATTTATTTTTTTTTGGAGACAGAGTCTCACTCTGTGGCTCAGGCTGGAGTGCAGTGGCCCGATCTTGGCTCACTGCAACCTCCACCTCTAAGGTTCAAGCAATTCTTCTGTCTCAGCCTCCTGAGTAGCTAGGATTACAGGTGCATGCCACCACACCTGGCTTTTTTTTTTTTTTTTTTTTTTTTTGTATTTTTGTATTTTTAGTAAAAATGGAGTTTCACCATGTTGGTCAGGCTGGTCTTGAACTCTTGAACTCATGATCTGCCTGCCTCAGTCTCTCAAAATGCCGGGATTACAGCAGTGAGCCACCACTCCTAGTCATGTAGTCATTTTTAAAAGTCACCTCTCAGCTGTTTACTAGTGAGCTTCCCAAATGTCCTCTCTGAAAGCTGCATGATGACTTCATTTGATTTTAGGAAGTATTCCACTTCACGAAGGGGTTTTGATAGCTGGGGCCATGGGCCCACCTGATGCTCTCATGGGTGCTGGATGGCTCTCGTCCTGCTTCCTATGGCTAACCTGTGATCAGGAGCTTGGCTCTAAAAGTCCACCTGTAGTTTGAGAATTATCTTTCAAACCAAATGATGGGGAGCAGAAAAGGGAATTCAGAAGCTCCTTCTTCCATGACACTCTTTTCTCTATAGGAGACAATCTCTAGGTGCTAATCTGGGTGTTTCTATGGCATTAATCATGCCCTTGTCTTTTCTATATTTCTAATGCTTTGACTTCCAGGGTCTTGCTGATCCAGGAGAGCCTGCCCTTTCCAGCAGAGCTTTCCATGTGACCAATCCAGAGCCCACTCCCCAGCCACCTCCTACAACTGGCTCTTACCTACAGGCTACTGCCCCTTGTCCTAAGGCCCCCATGTAGTTCAGGACAGTCCCTACACCCCAAGAGCCACTGAAATCATTCAATACCCAACCCTAAGTTGGCTTACTCTGCTTTGCTTATTCCTTCCAGTGGAGGCGACGATACCGCCTCTTGCCCACTTTTCTCCCTGCTTCTTCTGCCTCCCGACTGGCCCTGGTGATTTCCCATAGCCCTGTGTGGCGTGGTGGGTTCCTTCCACTTGGGAACAATGAATAAAAAAACTATCTTTTAAATGACAATTTCTTCCTGGGATTGGTTGGCCTCAGCTTACCTGAACGATAATGGAATCTATATTTCATGACAGAGGGTAGGAATCTGGAGCTTTGGCATCTTGGACATGTGAGCAGGTGCCTGTCTTAAAAAAAAAAAAAAAAAATTGGCCCCGATCAGAAAGTCAGCTGTCTTGACCAAGACTGCCGCCTCACTAGGTATTCCTCAAGAACAAAATGGCTCCAGTTTCAAAACTGTTCCTTCACTTTCACATGTCCTCATAAACACATGTGAACATGTGTTCCCAGGGAAGCATGCATTCCCAATAATTTGTTTGCTATTCATTCCTTCATTTCACAAATATTTAATGAGTGCTTACTATACGCTAGACACTGTTCTGAGTGCTGGAGAGACAGCAGTGAATGAGACAAGACTATGTCTACGCTCTCCTAGAGATTTCATTATCAAGGGGTAAGGATAGTAAAGAAATAAGCAAATAAATATCTTCCATTGCCCCACATGGTGAGAAAGGTGCAATGCAGAGAAACAAATCAGGATGCAGGGATAGAAAGGGAAGCAAGTCACAGGTGGTGGAGACTGTCTGACGAGCGCCCCCCTGAGGTGGGGAGTTTGCTGGTTTTTATTTTCCCCTTGTAAATCTTATAAATGCTCCCAGTTAACAATTCCAGTGCACAACGTACTAAGCAAAAGCCCTGCTAATCTCAATTCCCTGTGATAAACACTGAGCTTTTATTCACAATTTTCCTATGCTTATTTTAATTAGAATAATACATTTTTTAAAAAAGCATGACCCTGTGTTCTCTGTGTTTCCTCCAGGGCTGCATAGTGTCTTGACTGCATTAAGCCCGAATGAACAGGGCTGAAGGCAAGTCCGTTGCTTCATCGCCTTTTGCAGTCTCTGTAGAGGTTCACCTGACTGGGAGTATTTAGCAGCCAGAGGTTTGCTGATGTGTGCTCTGTCAGGATGTGTTTGGCTTCATTATCCTTGCCTTGTGGCCACCTTTTGGATAATTTGAATTTGACCGCCAGGTCTAAAACAGAGTCGAGAGGCTGCCTTTGAAAATGTGACCATTAGAGTCCATGTAGGGTATCATTTTCATATGATAATGCAGTCTGTAGACTGTGAATTGCTTAGGGAGAATGTATGAAGTGGTTAATTTTTATAGGACAGCTGTAATTGCTTTCTCTTCAGCTTAGAGAGCTGTGCAAGGAAAATGAATTCATGAAAGGACAAATTGTGATTCTTGAAGAGACTATAAATGTCCATGAGATGGAGGCAAAAGCTAGCAGAGAAACGATCATGAGGCTAGCTTCAGAAGTCGACAGAGAGCAGAAAAAAGCTGCCTCCTGTATTGAAGAGAAAGACAAGCTGAATCAGGTACGATGTATGAAGGATATGTGTGCATCCAGGACCATGCTGAGGAAGCAGAAATGAAAGAAATGGGTGTCAGATAAGCACCCTGGAAGTATTGATCACAATTTATTTTTTATTGATCGCAATTTTAAGAGCCTGCACTCAGCAGAAGGGTTGGGGGTGACATGGGACAAAGTGACTTGAACAGGTCATTTGCTATATATGTATATTTAAACATTTTAATTTTAATTAATTAATTATTTTCGAGAAGGAATCTTACTCTGTTTCCCAGACTGGAGTGCAATGGCACAATCTCGGCTCCCTGCAACCTCTGCCTCCTGGGTTCAAGCAATTCTTCTGCCTCAGCCTCCAGAGTAGCTGGGATTACAAGTACATGTCACCGCACCTGGCTAATTTTTTGTATTTTCAGTAGAGACAGGGTTTCCCCATGTTGGCCAGGTTGGTCTCGAACTCCTGACCTTACGTGATCTGCCCACCTTGGCCTCCTAAAGTGTTGGGATTACAGGCGTGAGCTACTGTGCCCGGATCTCATTTCTTTTTAACACAAATGTTGACACATGCTGCACATTATATTTTTCTCTTCTTATTTATTTATTTTTAACACAAATGGCAATATACTATACATTATTATCAATATAGCTATTATGAGTAATCTTATATCATTCTTCATGTGGGAGGATATAGCAGAAAGACAAAATCCAAGAAGTAGACTCGCTGGGCCAAAGGACAAGGACATTGTCATGTTGCCAGCTATTGCCAAAGGGAAGTGACTGAATTCTAAACTTTTATTTACACAGTGAATTGGCTGATCTTTTCAAATGATCTGGAACCTGTTTGAGCATGGGACTTAATATTGTGTGTGTGTGTTTTTAACACTATATAACCCCTTGATTATATTTTCAAATTTTGTGATAAATTTATTTATTTATTTATTTATTTATTTATTTAATTTTTACTTTTTTTTTTTTAATTGCATTTTAGGTTTTGGGGTTCATGTGAAGAACATGCAAGATTGTTGCATAGGTACACACATGGCAACGTGGTTTGCTGTCTTCCGTCCCCTCACCTGTATCTGTCATTTCTCCCCATGCTATCTCTTCCCACCTCCCCACCCCCTCGTCCCTCCCCCATTTCCCCCCAACGGACCCCAGTGTGTGATGCTCCCCTCCCTGTGTCCATGTGTTCTCATTGTTCAACACCCGCCTATGAGTGAGAATATATGGTGTTTGATTTTCTGCTCTTGTGTTAGTTTGCTGAGAATGATGGTTTCCAGGTTCATCCATGTCCCTACAAAGGACGTGAACTCATCATTTTTGATGGCTGCGTAATATTCCATGGTGTATATGTACCACATTTTCCCTATCCAGTCTATCATCGTTGGGCATTTGGGTTGGTTCCAGGTCTTTGCTATTGTAAACAGTGCTGCAATGAACATTCGTGTGCACGCGTCCTTGTAGTAGAATGATTGATAATTCTTTGGATATATACCCAGTAATGGGATTGCTGGGTCAAATGGGATTTCTATTTTTAGGTCCTTGAGGAATCGCCACACTGTCTTCCACAATGGTTGAATTAATTTACATTCCCACCAACAGTGTAAAAGTGTTCCTATTTCTCCACATCCTCTCCAGCATCTGTTGTTTCCAGATTTTTTAATGATCGCCATTCTAACTGGTGTGAGATGGTATCTCAATGTGGTTTTGATTTGCATTTCTCTGATGACCAGTGATGATGAGCATTTTTTCATATGTTTGTTGGCCTCCTGTATGTCTTCTTTTGTAAAGTATCTGTTCATATCCTTCGCCCATTTTTGAATGCGCTTGTTTGTTTTTTTTCTTGTAGATCTGCTTTAGTTCTTTGTAAATTCTGGATATCAGCCCCTTGTCAGATGGGTAGACTGCAAAAATTTTTTCCCATTCTGTTGGTTGCCGATCCACTCTACTGACTGTTTCTTTTGCCGTGCAGAAGCTGTGGAGTTTGATTAGGTCCCATTTGTCTATTTTGGCTTTTGTTGCCATTGCTTTTGGCGTTTTGGTCATGAAGTCCTTGCCTATGCCTATGTCCTGAATGGTTTTGCCTAGATTTTCTTCTAGGGTTTTTATGGTGTTAGGTCTGATGTTTAAGTCTTTAATCCATCTGGAGTTAATTTTGGTGTAAGGTGTCAGGAAGGGGTCCTGTTTCTGCTTTCTGCACATGGCTAGCCAGTTTTCCCAACACCATTTATTAAACAGGGAGTCCTTTTCCCGTTGCTTGTTTTTGTCAGGTTTGTCGAAGATCAGATGGTTGTGGGTATGCTGTATTTCCTGTGAGGCCTCTGTTCTGTTCCATTGGTCTATATCTCTGTTTTGGTACCAGTACCATGCTGTTTTGATTACTGTAGCCTTGTAGTATAGTTTGAAGTCCGGTAGTGTGATGCCTCCTGCTTTGTTCTTTTTGCTTAGAATTGACTTGGCTATGCGGGCTCTCTTTTGGTTCCATATGAAGTTTAAGGTGTTTTTTTCCAGTTCTGTGAAGAAGGTCATTGGTAGCTTGATGGGAATAGCGTTGAATCTGTAAATTACTTTGGGCAGTATGGCCATTTTCACGATGTTGATTCTTCCTAACCATGAACATGGAATGTTTCTCCATCTGTTTGTATCCTCTCTTATTTCGTTGAGCAATGGCTTGTAGTTCTCCTTGAAGAGGTCCTTTACGTTCCTTGTTAGTTGTATTCCTAGGTATTTTATTCTCTTTGTAGCAATTGTGAATGGCAGTTCGTTCTTGATTTGGCTCTCTTGAAGTCTATTATGATGTATAGGAATGCTTGTGATTTTTGCACGTTGATTTTGTATCCTGAGACGTTGCTGAAGTTGTTTATCAGTTTCAGGAGACTTTGGGCTGAGATGATGGGGTCTTCCAGATATACAATCATGTCATCTGCAAATAGAGACAATTTGATTTCCTCCTTTCCAATTTGGATACCCTTTATTTCTTTTTCTTGCCTGATTGCTCTGGCTAGAACCTCCAGTACTATATTGAATAGGAGTGATGAGAGAGGGCATCCTTGTCTAGTGCCAGATTTCAAAGGGAATGCTTCCAGTTTTTGCCCATTCAGTATGATATTGGCTGTTGGTTTGTTGTAAATAGCTTTTATTGTTTTGAGATACGTTCCGTCAATACCTAGTTTATTGAGGGTTTTTAGCATAAAGGGTTGTTGAATTTTGTCAAAAGCCTTCTCTGCATCAATTGAGATAATCATGTGGTTTTTGTCTTTGGTTCTGTTTATGTGGTGAATTACGTTTATGGACTTGCGTATGTTGAACCAGCGTTGCATCCCCGGGATGAATCCTACTTGATCATGGTGGATGAGCTTTTTGATATGCTGCTGCAATCGGTTTGCCAGTATTTTATTGAAGATTTTTGCATCTATGTTCATCATGGATATTGGTCTGAAATTTTCTTTTCTTGTTGAGTCTCTGCCGGGTTTTGGTATCAGGATGATGTTGGTCTCGTAAAATGATTTGGGAAGGATTCCCTCTTTTTGGATCGTCTGGAATAGTTTCAGTAGGAATGTATCAGCTCCTCTTTGTATGTCTGGTAGAATTCAGCTGTGAACCCATCTGGACCTGGGCTTTTTTTGGGTGGTAGGCTCTTTATTGCTGCCTCGACTTCAGACCATGTTATTGGTCTATTCAGGGTTTCGGCTTCTTCCAGGTTTAGGCTTGGGAGGATGCAGGTGTCCAGGAATTTATCCATTTCTTCCAGGTTTACTAGTTTATGTGCATAGAGTTGTTTGTAATAATCTCTGATGATGGTTTGGATTTCTGTGGAATCTGTGGTGATATCCCCTTTATCGTTTTTTATTGCATCAATTTGGTTATTCTCTCTTTTCTTTTTTATTAATCTGGCTAGTGGTCTGTCTATTTTGTTGATCTTTTCAAAAAACCAGCTCCTGGATTTATTGATTTTTTGAAGAGTTTTTTGTGTCTCTATTTCCTTCAGTTCTGCTCTGATCTTAGTTATTTCCTGTCTTCTGCTAGGTTTTGAGTTTTTTTGATCTTGCTCCTCTAGCTCTTTCAATTTTGATGATAGGGTGTCAATTTTAGATCTCTCCTTTCTTCTCATGTGGGCACTCATTGCTATATATTTTCCTCTAGAGACTGCTTTAAATGTGTCCCAGAGATTCTGGTATGTTTTGTCTTCGTTCTCATTGGTTTCGAAGAACATCTTTATTTCTGCCTTCATTTCATTGTTTATGCAGTCAACATTCAAGAGCAAGTTGTTCAGTTTCCATGAAGCTGTGCAGTTCTGAGTTAGTTTCTGCATTCTGACTTCTAACTCGATTGCACTGTGGTCTGAGAGACTGTTATGATTTCTGTTCTTTTGCATTTGCTGAGGAGTGATTTATTGCCAATTATGTGGTCAATTTTAGAGTAGGTGTGATGTGGTGCTGAGAAGAATGTATATTCTGTGGATTTGGGGTGGAGAGTTCTGTAAATGTCTATTAGGTTTGCTTGTTCCAGGTCTGAGTTCAGGTCCTGGATATCCTTGTTGATTTTCTGTCTGGTTGATCTGTCTAATATTGACAATGGGGTGTTAAAGTCTCCCACTATTATTGTGTGGGAGTCTAAGTCTCTTTGTAAGTCATTAAGAACTTGCCTTATGTATCTGGGTGCTCCTGTATTGGGTGCATATATATTTAGGATCGTTAGCTCTTCTTGCTGCAGTGATCCTTTTACCATTATGTAATGTCCTTCTTTGTCTCTTTTGATCTTTGTTACTTTAAAGTCTATTTTATCAGAGATGAGAATTGCAACTCCTGCTTTTTTTTGCTCTCCATTTGCTTGGTAGATCTTCCTCCATCCCTTTATTTTGAGCCTTTGTGTATCCTTGCATGTAAGATGGGTTTCCTGGATACAGCACACTGATGGGTTTTGGCTTTTTATCCAATATGCCAGTCTGTGTCTTTTGATTGGGGCATTTAGTCCATTGACATTTAGGGATAGTATTGTTATGTATGAATT